ATCAATATTTAAAATTTTATTAAAAATTTTAAAATATGCAGGCAAATTTGCCTGTGTTACAATCTAAGGGATAGTTATACTCTATATACTATATCTAAGATCTACTTGTGAATCCCCTATTTAAACCCTCTGATCTGAACTATCCTATGCCAATTCAACCTAATTTTACTTAGAATATAAGGTATATTAATTATTCCATGCCTCCAAATCATTACATATCATCTATAGAATTAATTTATTCTCGAAACATTGTTTGCTAAAACAGTCTAGTATCTACTATTATCATAATATCTAGTTTTTTAATAACTATGCTGAGTCTGAGAACAAGTACTTGTGAGCTGAAGCTGCTACTATTATCTATTTAACTCTTGTAAAGTTTATCTAAACCTTGTAACTTTTTTTCAAGACAACCTAATATTATTTTCTTTGTCTCATCTGGTTAACTGGCCTCAGATAAAGTCTATTCTAGTAGTCATTATTAAAAGTTTATATTATCTTTCTACTCAGGTCTTGCCAAATAAGCATACATCCTTTTGATTCTTTGGTATTATATGATTATATAATTTATACATTACATGATCTCTCAATCTTGTTGATACTACTAAAGTTATAGAAATCTCATTCTAACCAATCGTCAAAAAACAGTAGCTGTTATACAAGCAAATTTTTAAATTTTTGTTGTTGGTAAGTTTCAAACCTCTAACTTGCTAATATATTGCTTGGGAGTGTAATAACTTAACTACTTTACTAAGTCATTATATCTTTAAATTATTGTTTTATTATCAATTTGGATATACTTATTGTTTAGAACAAAATATATGATTATTTCTATAGAATCTTAATAAATTCTAAATTAAAATTAAATTAGAAATAGATTTGGTTTTTAATTATAATGAAATACAAAATGTTAAAAGTTAAATTTTATTCAAATTTGATTTATATCCTAAAATTATCAGAATTCTATAGAATAATTGAGAATTTATATATGTTTTGTTCTAAAAAATAATTATTTTTTAGAATAATAACTTGAAAAAAACTAGAATATAATTTAAAAATTTTTATAAAGCATGCTAAGCTCCAAGATAATAAAAGTATAAAGATCTTTTATAATCAAACAATAAGATTATGAATATAAGATTCAAAATAGACTAACTAGTAAGCTAGTTTGATAATTAATTTTCTTATATTTTTTTTTATAGTTATTAGCATCAGTTTTTTAAAACAGTGCTATTTATTATTTAATTATTTTTTATTAGAGAATTATATTTTTTTTTTCTTTTAATATATAAAAAATTAGATTTTTATTATACAGATCATTTGTATAAAGTTTTTAATATGATGCTAAATAATCAATTTATCTAAATTTTATATATAAAATTTAGACAAATTTTGCTTTTTAGACATATTTAATAATAAAGACAGTATTTTGTAAATTCTCTTGTATTCAAAAAATCTTTTTATAAAATTTGAAATATAGTTAAAATAATGTTAAAAAATATTATTTTTATGAAGTGACTAATTTTTTTATAATTTTTATTGTTTGTTTATATATTGTAATATAAATTTTTTAAACTTCAGTAAAAAAAGCTAGTGATTCTTTATTAGATATATTTGTAAATACATATATAATTTTTAGAACTACAGTCAATTCTCTATTCCAAACAGTGTGTTCCAAGTATATTTGTTCAGTATAGAGTAAGTTCAGAATATACATATTTCTCTTTAAACCGAATACTAATAGAAATTTCAGTATATAGAGAGTAACCAATAGAATTGTTTGCACGTGATATGATTGCATACTATGATTTATATATTGATATTAAAAATATATCAGTATAACCAATAATCGAGGTAATAGTTCTATGATTTTCTGATAAAATTAAGCTTTGAACTAATAAAAACTAGTAAAAGTATTTATGTTTAGAAATATATTTAAGCTTATCATATTTTTAACATTTGAGTTTGTTTAATATTTTACCCGTTTTATCTATATAAAAGATTTAATATTATTGTTTCTTTTCATATAAATATGGTAGTCTTATTTCGCTATAGAATAAAAGGTTCATTATATCTAAAATCGATTATAAAAATGAAAAATTAAAAATATGAATGAAAAAAGCCTCATAATTAATATTAATATGACAGTATTATACCAAATCAAATAAAAGTTAAGAGGCAAAGAAATTATTGGTGATACTGAATACGCCAAATTGAATAAAAATTAAGAGACAAGGTAATACTGATATTTTTCGATATTGAGCAATAGCAATCTGAGATATATACTTCAAATTTTTTGTAAGCAAGACAAAAAACCATATTAAAAGTAGTTAACTTTATAAATTACAAGTAAATAGATAAGAACTAGTTATTGATTATATTTTTTTTAAATATAGTACTTATATAACAATATAATTTATTTATTTATAATATAGGTGTAAAATAATATAAACTGAATAAAAAAATAATAAATTGGGATTGGAAAAATAAAAAAAAAAGAGTAAATTGGATGGGAAAAGTAAAAAAAAAAATCGATAAGTCAGGATCGATAAAAAAAAAAAAATCAAAAATAATTATTTTAATTTTTAATTGCAAAATATTGACTGATTTCAACTTGCTTAAGGTTTTTAATATAAAGTACTCTCATACATTTATATAATTTCACCAAATCTATCTTCCTGTTTATATAAAAATCTTAAAATTGTATTAATAGCCTTTTTTGTTTTACCACAACCAACTTTTTTTAATATATTAGTTTCACAAACTTCAGATACAATTTCCTCTTCATTTTTAGCAACAGCTGCTAAGATTTCATTATTTGTAAATTTACTTTCAACTTTATTTTCTTTGATACTAATATATTCGGAGATACTAAGATTGTCATCACCTGGTAATTTGGTAAGAAGATTTTCTAATTCATCTAGCTCTCTATATTTGATGTCAACAAAAATATCATATCTATTTACTATTTCATATGGTAGAAGAATTCTGGTTTTTATCCAACAATTTGAAATTGTTTCAGTAGAAACTATTAACCAAGCTTTTACGGTATTTAAAATTATATTATAAACATTATACTCAAGAAGTTCTTTTACCCGATTTTCTTATAAGTCATCATACACATTGATTTGATTTTGAATAAAAAGATACTTATAATTACATTTGAATGAATTAATAATTTCTGCATCGCAGGGCTGAAGAATTGAGGTGGTCTGTGCTGAGAGAAATTCAACACGTAGATTGCTTAGTTTTTCTTGAGTTTCATCAAGAATGATGTGTACTAGTACATTATCAATCAAAAAGATAATATTCCAATTTTCTTTTTTTATTTTGTCATTAAGTTTAGGAGCTTCCAGAAATTATGTAATTTTGGAATGGGTGTGTGTAGTGTTCCGCACGGTCCGGTTCTGGGCAGGTATTGTTAAGAACCGTACCCGAACTGTCACATGATATCGGGTCCTTATAAAGATCTGGAACCATATCATATGGATCTGGAACCGAACCGTAGAACCAGTATCAAATATAGAACTTAGAACTTTCAATAATATTTGTATCGGATGAGTTCTCACTACTTCTGATTATTACAATAA